TTTCAACCACACATTCTTCAATAAAATAATATTACATGCAAATCCAAAACTTTTCTTTATTTTTTTACTACACATTTTTCATCAATACACTATTCAAAAATACATTTTAAGGAAAATAATGTGGCTCAAACAAGGGCTTATTTTAGCTTACTACTTATATGGTAACTAAAGAACCTAGAACTGATAGTGATAGCACTATGACTATATATAGTGTCTGTTTAATAGGGATTAAAATCAAATTTTTAGTAAATTTTGATAGAAGTTGATGAAATATGTTGTTGAAAAATTGTGAGACTCATAAAATATGTGGTTGAAATTAATTGTTGACACTGACTTAAATTAAAATCTAGATTTTATTTGGCACCAAACAAGGGCATAACCTTTTAATCTAACACAGAAGTAATCAGCACCTGTCTTGGTACCTGCAAATAGAAAATAATATGATATTCAAAAACATCGAACTTCAAAACATACAACTCACCAAATCCCCTCCCAGATTTTGAACCACAAATATCACACTTCCATGCATCCTGATATAAAAGAAGCAAGAAGAATAAGATGGAAATTATGTTTTTGAGACACCTTGGACAAACCGAAGTAGAAATAGAGACAAAATAGTATAAGAAGGTACATAAACTAGATGGAAATTAGATCTATGCAATTCAAAGTTTTAACCATTTTAAAGTATCTAGATAGGGAGAAGGTTCAACTAGAAGCATAACTGAATCCATGAAATAACCTACAGCCCAAAACAATTACCTTAGCTGCCTGGGGAAATTCTCCAAGTGAATGATGCACCACATTATCATACAAGGACAGACACCACCTCTTCTTCGCACGTTGGGAGTAATACTCAGCCACAAACTTTTTCCAGTAGGCAATAGGGTTATCCTAGCAAGATATAAACTTATCAAAATTATCAAAATGTAAGATAAGTTCAAGATTATACTGAAGATTAGACTGAAATTGGACAAAACAAAAAGGCAACTTTAAAACACACCTATACTAAGCCTACAATAGATTTAAGATTTGTGGGTGAGTGAGTAAAAAAACGTGTTACTGTGCCAAATATTAATTTACTCACACAAGGTCGTTGTCTCTGATGATACAAGTACTGCATTAGCCGCCGAGAGCATACACCACCATCGTAGTGGCGATTCAATGTAGATGCAGGCTGTACGCCCTGTTGTTGAAGCTGCTGTCTTAACTGCAACTGCCGCTGCTGCTCCTGCTGTTGTTGCTGCAGCAATTGAACCCGCTGCATTGGAGGCATGGACTGTAGGAGCTGTTGCTGCTGTTGCCTGAGCCTCTGCTGTTGAATCAAAGTTTGCATATGAGGATTGGGGTTTGGTAGGTGCATGGGATCTTTTCTCTGAAGCAGTTGTTGAAGAACCTGCTGTTGTAATATATCATCCTGCTTGATATCTAACCGAGGCTTCTTTTGTAACTGAGACATACAACTGGAATCGTGAATATATGAACTAGGAGCCATTGGATCACCAAGAAGCTGAACATGCTCCATCCGTGATATAGGCAAAGAAGTGGCACTGGAAGCTCCGTGATGTTGCTGACTTCTCTGGGTCTGTTGAGAGCTTGGGTCTTGATTGAAGCTTTGTTGTGCAATAGAGGATCCATCCATGACAGATGAGCCAGAAACGCTAATATTGTTAGATGAGAATGACAATGGTGATGCAGGCAAGCGCATATGAGATTCTGTATTAAAGCTAGAATTTCTACGTAAGTGGGGACCTCCCGAAAGCCCTGAGTTGGCATCAGTGACCAAAGAACTTGCCCTAATACTTGGAGTGGAGCTTGCCACGCTGTTCGAAACGGTGTTGCTGACATCCCCAGATGCTAGATCACCGTTGGAACACGCATTTCCATGTATTAATTTAGATGAGTTCCCAAATTTTGAACTGAATAGAGCATTCCCTGCTACCTGAGACTGCCCAAATGTTTGAAAATAGATTCCCGAACTTGAAGAAGAATGTTCCATCTCTCCAGCCACCGAAGACGGCACCACCATTCAAGGTTCTGCTGCCTAGTGGCTGGGACCTAAATAGCTTCACTTCATCAATAACCAATTCAAATTAGAAATTTGAAATCCCAAAACACAAAATGTAACAACTATTCTTTCAGCTTCAACTTTTTACAGGGCCCCATTATTTTTCAGTTCAAATTGCTGCCTTGAACAATGGTCTGCTCGAGGTCTACAAAGCAACATAAAAAAAAAAAAAACAATAAAAGGTTTACAAAATAACCCCATAGTAACACTTACGTAAAGACCTATAGGAACCCTAACTTTGAACAACTAAGATTAAACTTATATAGAGGAAAGCACAAGTCTTTGGCACCTACAAGCTAAAAGTAGAGACAAAATCCGATCAATAAACCTATGTTAACTAAAATTTGACTCGCTAACTTAACAAATTATACATCAACTCGCATCAAAAGTTGTAAATATCATCAAAAGCAAAGTCACTATAATTAAGTTAATTTACTGATTAAAGATGTACTTAACAGAAAGCTTCCGATTTGCCTAATGTAAGAAGATTAAACGAAGATCGGAATTTGCAGAATAATAAAAAACTTAAAAGACACAGGAAAAATAAATCTTAAACAATTACCAAAAAAAAAAAAAATTATAAGCAAAATGTGAAAATAAGTAGAAATTGAGGACCTGAAAATGGAGAGCTAGAGAGAGATAGTAATCGGGACGGGGAATTAGTAGTGAGAGAAGGAATTTCCCTGTTCATCGGTGGTTATCTAGCAGTAGCAGGAAGGGAGAGTTACCGGCTGTAGACGGTGATAGACGCACGTGACCGGATACAGGCAGTGTCTTCAGACACGTGTCTAATAATGATTTGATGCATAGTCGGTGCCAAGATCCCCCGGTGAAAGGGCGAGGTCGCACCATTTATATCTACGTGGCCGTATCTTACTGGTTCGCTAAATTAACCGGATAGGTCTATATAGAATTTTGAGGAATTTCACTTTTGGTCCCAAATCTATTAATTTATAAACAAGTTAGTTCTCATCCATTAAAAGGAAATACGTTAGTACTCAGTACTTGTCCTTTCATCTTCTTCTTCTACATCATTTTTTGTTTTATTTTTAAAATCAAGATCTAACAAAAATCTAATTTCAATTTAACTTAAACATGGGCTACTTATGCAACAATCTTGCTAGTTGTAGACAACAATCTTGCTAAGGGTGCATCTAATGTACACCCGACGCCTCGATATTGGTCGAGGCGCCTGTGGGTCTTGATATGCCGAGGTGTCGAGTGTCCATTAGGTACACCCTTAGGTACACGATTGTTAAAAGCTCACCTTCTTCCTCGTCGGCATCTAGGTCGTTAGCTTCTAGGTCGTCGACATCTGGGTCACTCTCTTCTCTTGTGAAAATGTGTGAGGGTATTAATGACTTTTCATTTTGGTCAATAAGGCAAAAAAAATTAGCTAAAAAAATATTTATGTACAAACTTCTTACAGGGATGGTAACTGGGTAAGAATCTTGACTTATTTTGGAATAGGACAAGGGACGGTGTTAAGAAATCAACCCTCGACTTGGGGATGGAATCATGATCTCCATCTTGTCCCATCCTATTTTAGTTTTTTCTAAAAATATCAAATCATTCTTTGATAGAAATTAAAATCTAAATATTAATTTAAGTCAAAATCTATAATAATTTTAATTATATACGTTAAGGATCCAACAACTTTTAAACCATACATTTCATTAACTTTTATTAAAATTCGTTAAACATTAATTTTAATCACCATCAAACGGGGGCCAAATAAATTTGAAAGAGTTCACAATATTCATAAATAAAAAAATAAACGATGTTAAATGGGGACTTAGCGTCCCTTCCATGAGGAAATCGGTTGATGGGGGCAACAAACGGGTTCACTATTGAAATTCCTACGGGCTAACTATTTTGACTACAAAACACGAGAATAGAAAAGAGGGCAACTATTCTTTATTGGATACAACAAGTCAAGAGAAAGTAATGTGTAGAAATTAGAATCAAGTACAAGTTGGTGTAGAAACTAGACTTGGTGTCAAGGACAGATCCAGGATTGAATCCACGATTGGGCTACTACGCAAAAATTTTTTTTACACATAAAAAACTGATTTTTTACCCAAAAAAATAAAAAAATGCCTTAAAAAAAGCTCTTGGACTTTGGGGGGGGGCTACAGCCCAGCCCCCCCAAATCCGTCTCTGCTTGGTGTAGACAACTATTCTTTACTGGATTCGACAAGTAAAAAAAATGTGTAAAAATTAGAATCATGTAGAAGTTGGTGTACAAACAATGGCGAAGTTTGACTTCACTCTAATTTCTTTATTTCTATATGAGAAAAATTATATTTTCATGAATAAAACACGAAATGCTAATCAGCATATGTTTGGTGTAGATAATTGGATAGTGCACAATTTTATAGAAAAAGAAAAACAAATTGAAATTTTATTTGCTGTATGTCCCATCATATTTAGTATAATGTATCAAACACAAACTTAGGTCTTATCTTGGGTCAAAACTGCGTAGGCAATGGCCTATGATCTCAAAATTTGAGAGGCCTAAAAAAAATTATATACTAGATGTATTCTGTTAAGGTCCAAATTTAACGTTTTTCTTAACACTCCATTTTCAAGCTATCTCTTTACATCCAAATAGATACTCACTACCTATGATTCATCCTCACACACATTCCATTCGGATTTTGCATTCAATGCAATGTTCTTCAAATGCGTTAAAAGAGAGAAATATTTGAGCAAAATATTTTGAAGTTACATTACATTTATTTTCATTTACTCCATATTAAAAACTTTAGTTGATTGAATCAAACTTTGAAAATATTATATCCGCTAAAGCTTTCTCATCTAATTGTGGGTCATGTTGAAATCCTTTGAAAGCTCAATATTATATAAAGATCGATACCTCTTGATTGTAAGTTATCGGAAGCGTTGTAAAGGGTTTGGATTATACAGTAAGTTAATCAATATAATAAAAAAAAGCTTTACTCGTGACAGAGAGTTTGGTAACAAAGCTGAATTCCTCACACACAGTCCATTCGGATTTTGCATTCAATGCAATGTTCTTCAAATGCGTTAAAAGAGAGAAATATTTGAGCAAAATATTTTGAAGTTACATTACATTTATTTTCATTTACTCCATATTAAAAACTTTAGTTGATTGAATCAAACTTTGAAAATATTATATCCGCTAAAGCTTTCTCATCTAATTGTGGGTCATGTTGAAATCCTTTGAAAGCTCAATATTATATAAAGATCGATACCTCTTGATTGTAAGTTATCGGAAGCGTTGTAAAGGGTTTGGATTATACCGTAAGTTAATCGATATAATAAAAAAAAAAGATTTACTCGTGACAGAGAGTTTGGTAACAAAGCTGAATCCTGAATGGAAATTAAAACTGTTTAATTTCGCTATGCATGTTTAAATAAATTTCCAACACTATCATCTTTTCAAATCTCAAGAACTGAACACACACACACACACAAAATGCAATTATTTCCTGAACCCATCATCAATAAGAGAGGAAAATTATCTCAAGAACTGAACACACACACACACAAAATGCAATTATTTCCTGAACCCATCATCAATAAGAGAGGAAAATTAACCATAGAAGAATTATGGGCTGAATTTGATACAATTTGTGAGTTCTGGGGCTTCAATTCCTCTAATGGCAAGGATCTGCTACCCACAACAAGCCCAAGAAAATAAAAAAATGGTGAGTTTTCTCTATGTGTGTTTTGTGTATGTATACATGCTCATTCATTTTATGTAGATACAACAGTAACATCACCCGAAAATACTTGGAGATTGCAACTCCAATTCGGTGGTCCTGACGGCTATTGAAGACTCCGACAGATCGCAACTACCTGAATTCGTCAGTGACTCCATTATTTACTTAAACTTTATACCGTTGCACTCCATTATTTTCAAGGTCATCCCCATCATTAATTACTGCACAAATGGAGGACGGGTTTTACAGGTGGCAGTTAAATGCCATGTCATTTTTCCCAAACACGAACGAAACACGCCTCGCCCAAAAATCAATTGAAGTTGTGAGATGAAACCCTCGTGTCAAATGAACGACCTCCATCAGCCATTGCAGAAACACCTCCCAAATCTCAAAATCCGAAATTGCCTTGATCCCCAACCCCCAATTTGAATTCGATCCACAATTTGGACCTCAAAGCGCGATTGTTGAAACCGTAGACATTGATAGAGCACCTCAGTTTGCTGACACTTGGATTGAAATGTGTTCCAATTTTCGAAGTACATTTCATTTTTCTTACATGTTATGACCTTTCCAATGAGACATTTCAGTTTGCTACCACTCGAATTGACTGGAAGGAGACATCAAAAAGCCTTGTGTTTAAGGCAGATCTTCCGGGATGAAGAAAGAAGTAAAGGTTGAAGTTGAGGAAGGTAACATACTGCAGATTAGAGGAGAAAGGGGCACAGAGAAAGAGGAGAAGAATGATATGCGGCATTGTATGGAGGGAATTTCGGCAGAAAGAGGAGAAACCTTCATGATTCTGATCAAAGTGGCGGATTTAAACAGACGTAATGCTCCTAGATTGTACATCTGATTTTATGGACTATGATTGTACGTATTTATGGGAATTTAGGTAGTTGTGTAAATTTATAAAAGCTCAAAAAGCTCTGTAGTAAATTTATGGGAATTTTGATGTATGTCACTGCCCTTACTTTTAAAACAATGTTATATGATTGTTCATGCTTTGCCAATTATGAATTGAAGCTACAAATATGTTATAGGATTGTTCATGCTTTGCCAATTTGTGAATTTATTCGACCTATGTAATCGATTAGAAGACTTAGTATATAATTCTCATGTTTATGTAATTTGAACTAGAGTTGAAGTTGAATTGTGCTTATGGGTTCTCTTTGTAAACTGCACTAGAGTTTATCAATTTTCTTTGAATGTTTGTATTAGTTTACTATATTGGTTAGAAATTTCTATGGTGATGCTCTTTGAATTCTGTTGTTTAAAATGATGTACTTTATGTTAGTGTGATAGATATCTTATTCCTTGCTTGACTTCTCGAACTTGCCTTCATAAACCGAAGTGTTAGCCCAATGAATGAAAGGTTGGCCTTGTGTTGGGACGGTAAGGAGACATGTTAAGTTCTTGATTTGTAGTGACATGTGTTTAATTGTGCTGGCTTACATTCATTTTCACCCTCAGGGAAAATTGGGGCCGAATAGAGGGACTGGAGTATCATTGTGCAACCGCATGATGGACAACAAAGCTTCCATTTTGGGTGGCAATGGAATACAAGTGTTATCAGTAGTGGGCCATTAGCTTCTGCACCCATGGATGAAGGTAATAACAGTGGACATTCATTCGAAGCACAAGTGACTACTGAACAAATTGATTATGAAGGAATAGAAGAGGACTTCGCACCTATGAATGTAGAAGAGGGTTCAAGTTCAAGACCATCAAGGCCATATGCTAGAAGACTTGCAAGTATATCAGGGCATTGAACAATTTATATGAACGTTTTTTGTTATGTTTTTTTGTGCAGTTCTTGTTTAAAAAGGAAACAAAAAGCATTGGTGTAGTGTTAAATGTTGGCTATTTCTATGGATCATTACAGGTGCATGGGTATAAAGCAGGTGGTGGCAAGAACATATTAATCACATATCATTTCATCAGACATCGATCAAATAGAACAAGTTTTTATTTAACATATAACACAGTCCCTCAACATCGATCAAC